GTAGGGATTACTCTTTTCTGATAATGTCCCTGATATTTGTAACTGGATGAAAGTAAATTTATTAAAGATTAATTTTCTTCTTCCTCAAATTTTGTATGGTACCAGCCTAGAACTCAATACAAATAAATATTTTATTTATTATGCACTTGTTGGAAGTGGAATAAAAAAAATTTAATGTTACAACAGTGATCATTTTCCCTCTGTGACCTCATGATCCAATTTTGATTTAAGGTTATAATTTCAAGAAATACAGACGCAATCATTCAGAATTACTACTTTGTTAAGGAACATTTCAACATGCTATACTGAAAAGTGTGATATGCCAAGGCCAGGCCTGCACCAAATTAACAGCCTAGAGTAACAATAGCTAGAGTTGAATTTTCCTTCTGGTATAAATTTCAAATTTAAGCATTTGTAAAAATGCACACAAAAAGCATTTAAACATCTAGAAGTTATTTGTCTGTTCTGTCTTAGGGTTTCAGCTGTTGAGCTCTTAATATAAGTGAGACATTCTGTCATCAAATTTTAAGGAATTATTTTAGGCTGTATCAACAGTGAAAAACTATAGAAAAGTGGATGCCACAATTGTAGCCTACTATATGTTGATTAAATCTATTTTTTTATTCTGCCCTTCAAGCATAATCCAGAAGTACTGGGGGTGAGATGATGGTTATGGGCCATGGAGTCGCTTTCAACTCACAGCTACCCTGCATAGGATTCCCAAAGCTGTAAATCTTTACATGAGTGGAAAGCCTTATCTTTCTCCCACTGAACAACCAGCAGTTTTGAACTGATGACCTTGAGGTTAGCAGCCTGAGTTGAACCCATGACGCTCCCAGAGCTCCTGGGAGTGATATGAGAACTGACAAACACATGAATGGTGCCATGTTCAAAGGGAGAACTATAATAGGAAAAGTAGGCAGGAGATTGCAAAGCAGGATCAAGTTCAGTTACACAGATGGGGCACATAGGAAGCACCCTAACCTTGCAATAATTCAGAAAGTCACTAAATGAACCATGTATCATGAGTATTATAGGAATGTTGCTATTGTTGTTAAGAGCTGTCCAATAGCGAGCGACCCTGTATAGGGTTTCCGTGGAGCGGCTGGTGAGTTTAAACCACGCTTTTTGGTTTAAACCCACTTTGCAAAGCAGTAAATTAATCCACAGTGCCACACCAGGACAACTAAATTATTAACTGGTGGTTAATACCCAATTGGGTTGTTGTTGTTGTTAAGTGTTGTTGAGTCGGTTCCAGCCCATAGCGACCCTATAGGGTTTCTGAGTTGCAGCTGGTGATCTTGAACCACCGATCTTGCAGTTTAAATGGTTTTGTAGTCTGGCACATTAACCTACAGCACCATACCAGGACTTCAATGATTGGAATACCCAATTATAGAAATACCCAATCATTAACAAGTGGTTGACCCAGATAATTTTGAAGCACTGAGATTCCATAATTATTCTTGGTTGTTCTTAAAACTGGTACAACTGGATTTTGGGGAAATGTTTGTATCAGTAAAACCAAGTATTAGAACCTCCATTTAACTGTCCCACAATAGTAATGAAGATTGTCTACTGTTTCATTTGTACTAGCATAGCCATAAATATCCAAAACATGCCACTGAAAGCCACTTTTTAAAAACCCATCCTCTTACCTGCCTCTTGCCCTTCTAGGAATGTAATGAAAAATACTCCTTGCCCAAAGGCGGTTGTTGAGAGGAAGCACTGCCCAGAAATTGATAAAGCAAAGAGAGAAACAGCACGTTAGTGTTTGGTTGAGACCACAGAAAATCTACAATGCTAAATTAAAATAGAGAAACCATGACAACTTCCAACTCTAACAATGCCAGTCCGTTGCTTCAGGCTGTAATTTAAATATCTGAACCTGCAAACCTTCACAGAATGTCAACCCATTCTGCAAAGTGTGGTAACAAGTTCCTTCTTAATGCTAGAAGGAATGATTTCACTTTAATGCAATGCTTGGAGTGTCATAAATCCAACATACTGTATAAAGAAATGCCTAACACAAAATAGTGAAAAATGGAACAAAGCTATTATTTTTTTATTAGTGAGTGTCCTACAGCACACTGCAGGCAAGCAGATGAGAGTATACACTAGCCCATTGAAAGATCATCTTAAATGTAAACACAATGTATTAGTTATATTTTTTATCTTCCAGAACACATATGGTTACGAATCGGGCTGCAAACCTTAAGGTCAGAGTTCGAAACTACCAGCTGCACCGCGGGAGAAAGATGAGGCTTTTTACTCCCGTAAAGATTTACACCCTCGGAAACCCTATACAGGGTCGCTATGGGTCGGAACCGACTCGATGGCACATGACAACAACAACAACAACAGAACACATATATGTAAAAAAATAAATTTTAAATGCAAAGAACATTTTTAAAGATGGGAATTGAAATAAAAGTAAATATAAACAACAGCTGGACTTTAGGAAAGTAATGTCTGTGGAGAGACAAGCACTAAAAGTCCCTACCCAGGAAGGTTTGCTTTTTAAAAAAAAAAAAAAAATTATTCTGAAAATAGTTACCACAAACACAAAATTATTTGTGATAAAATATTACCTGTATGCCATCTACTAATCAAAACTGATGAACACACACCAGTGGATAAAATGTTGATTGAGCATAACCACTTTTTCATTAAACATGCATATGCTCGTCTTAGAGTCCTAGCGAGGCACCGTGGATTAATGTGCTGGACTGCAAGGTCAGTTTGAACCGCAAGGTCAGCTATTCACGCTCACTAGCCGATCCTCAGAAACCCTATATAGGGTCACTATGAGTCAGAATCTACTCAATGGCACTTAACAACAACAACAGTGCTTGTAAGGAATCGGAGTCGATTCAATGATAGTGGGTGCGTGGGTTACAAACATTGTGTTGTAGTTGTTGTTAAGTGCCAATGAATCGGTTCCGACCCATAGTGACCCTGTATAGGGTTTCTGGGCTGTAAATCTTTATGGGAGCAAAAAGCCTCATCTTTCTCGCGTGGAGTGGCTTGTAGTTTCAAACTGATGACCTTAATGTTCGCAGCCTGATTCGTAACCACTACACTACCAGAGTTCCCCTTTAATCTGGAGTCTCCTTAATACCTCCTAGAATTCTCTGATATTGTCTTTGGTCATACCTCTTAACATTTAAAGATTTAAAGAGTAAGCCTGACATGCTGGAGAATTAAAACCTTGAACAATTGCAGATGCTTACAGTTATGACATGAATTCTGTGAACTGGACCACTGTAATAGTAATTCATCCATCCTCTCCAGGTTAACTTTCCAGGTTCCTACTATGTGCCAGGCCTTGTGCTTGCAAAGCACACATCGTAATAGAGAAGATTAAGTCTCTGCCCTCTATGTACTTTATAGTAAAGACATGGAACTATTCTAACACTTTCTCAAGAGGTCCATTTTAAATGGATGAGCATCTTAGATATTGCTGGTGGAGAGGTCTTCCTTCTCAATATGATATAGCTCATGATGGCTACAAGAAAAATGGTTATTATTTCTTGTAAAAGAGCATTAAAAAATCTATGTCTTCGTATGCATGCAAGAAAGAGACATTGAAGTCCTGTGCTTCCTTTAGAATACTGCTGATACACGAGAGTTAAGAGGAACCTTAGGTTAGGAAACAGTGACAGTCCCTAATGGAGTACTAGGTGGGGCGCTGTGGGCTAATGCACTGGACTGCAAGGTCAGTGGTTGGAGCTCACCACACCTTGGAAACCCTATCCAGGGTCGCTATGGGTCAGAACTGACTCGATGGCACTTTAACAACAACAACATCCAGCAAAACCGCTACCATTTCAATGTACTGTAACTGCCATATTTGTAACTGTTGGTAGAAAGAAGAAAAGCAAATATCAGGAAGCACATGTAATTCTGAAAATGATATTTTAGAACTGAAGATGGAAATTTTCTTTTGTTGGGTTGAAAGTAGCTTTGTCTTCATTTCATGTCTTTAAAAAAAAAAAAATTCACTTACCAGAAATGTCTGAATGACCAAACTTAATCGGTTATGTAGGACCAGCAGGACTATATAAGGCAGAAAGCTGATCATATACACCAGGCTGGTGCAGAGAGCAGCTGTGTTTGCTTGGCTGAAAAATGCACTCAGGAAGTAACTCAGCATGACAACTGACACCCCAAAATCCAGGAGAAAGAGAAAAATAATCAAGGCGTTGCTGTGTGCAAAGATGCCACTTGTTTTCAGAATAACAGCCAGAGCAACACTGCCAAGGGTCAGCATGGCCATGTTCTCCAGGAACCAGGCTAGGAAGTGGGTTGTTGGATGTACTCCCATCATCCTCATGTACTGTCAAAAGAAGGGAAATCCAAAGTCAGCTCAGCAGTAGACTCAAGAATGAGCAGACTAGCTCACTGGAAAGAGGACAGACACAAGCATGTGCACTCCCACATTGCTGTTATCTTGGAAATCCACACTTTCTGGAGAGCAGCACAGAGAAGGGCACTGTGCTAGGCGCTTCGTTCTAGAAATAACATTCATCTTTCTTTGACACCTTACTAATTATACCATTCACCAATACAGACCTGAGCATCGGAAAGTTAAAACAATTTCATTTGCTATGGAATGACACAGTTGAAAAGTGGGAGAGCAAACTTTGTGTATCAGGCTAGGTAGGCTACCATCTCAGTTTGTTTCCTTCCTTATTTAGATTGTATTGCTGGTTTTGTTTTAGTTATTTGTCTTATTTTGTTTGTGATGGGTTTGTTTAATAAAGAGCAAGAGGAAACGAAGAGATATAGTACCAGTCCCTTCACTTTGCAAATTTATGGTTGGAATGGAGATCAATGGATAAGTTTCACAATTCATTTTGCTAAATGGTAACTCTACTCAAAGAAAAAAAGATCAAATCATAAGACTAAAGGTACGTAATGCACAAAACAATAGGGCAAATCCTGTGCCATGCTGATAAACTTGAATGGAAGCTCCATTTTACTTTACCACAAAACTTATTTATTTTTAATAAATATTAGATAAGTAACTTATGTGAACCCATTGTCTCTGAGCTCCAACCATCTGGAGTGCTAAGTGGAGGTTCAGGCTTTACCCAAACACTTCTACAAACTTTCATCCTTTTTTGTTATTTCTTTATAATTTATACTATTTGTGGCAAAAAAAAAAAAAAAAAATATATATATATATAATTTGTCATTTAGTTATCTTTAAGTGTACAATTCAGTGGCATTAACTGCATTTATCAAGTTGTACCACCATCATCAGTCTGTATTCCCAAATTATTTTCATTACTTTACACTATTAGGACAAAAACAGCAAATCTTTACACAGTATAATTTTAATCATAAATTTGGATACAAAGTCCTGTTTTACTGGGTTTCATAAATACCTATCATCCTCAAATTTCTTCATCTCAGTAGGAACTTTTCAACTCTGGCAGGGCATCAGATGTCAATTTAAAGTCATTTTTCACAATTTAAAATAGATAGTATCTAAGAGAATAAAATACCCAGGAATTCACCTAATCAGAGATGTGAAGGATTTATACAAGAGAAGTATAAAACACTCATGAAAGTGATCAAAGAAGACTTAAATAAATAGAAAGATGAGCCACCATGTTCATGGATTGGAAGACAATATTTTTAAGCTGTCAATGCTACTCAAAACAATCTCTATTCAATGCAATTCCAAACAAAATTCAAAAGCCTTTTTCACAGGAATGGAAAAACTAATCCACAGCTTTATATGGAATGACAAAAATCATCCAACAGATAAAGAAATGTGTAGCAAAGTAGGAGGACTCCAGTGGAGAGTGAAGTGGCCAGCAGATAAGAAGAGAGGGCATATGCATAAGAATAGTCACACTTGCAGATAATACCCATTCGACCTGGCTTCAATGACTGGATGATCAGAGGTCAACTAGAAAAAGAAAGAAGTGGGAAAAAAAAAGAGTAATCTGATACAATTTGATGAGCTTGACCTACACCTATAGATTCAGTAGCTCAAAAGAGGGAACAAATCTTTACAGCAAAGATCATTCCCACCCCCTCAATGCACAGAGTAGACAGGGATGGACAACTTGAACATTGGCTACTCAAAATGGGGGGCTACAAAGGCAAGAAGTGACTGGCTTACAACCTTTCAAGAGGGAGCCTAGATCCAGAGAGCATGGAGGAAGGTAGAATCTCCACAGAGTAGTATCCAATCTGTCTGGTTGGGGCTAATGAAAGGAAATGGATATGGGTACCTTGTGGTACAATGGTGAATAATGGTTATCAGGACAGACTGTAAGGGTTGGAAATGTGAAGGTGGACATTTTGTAGCAAAAGGAGGGGAGTGATTGACTACACAGTCCAGGAACAGAGGTCCCTGGAACCATCAGGGGAGAAGAGCGGAGGCGAGACCCTACCCAGAGAAACAGTGATGCCAGAGATGGAGGCAGAGACAATGATGTGGACAGATGGAGTGGCTGGGGACTTTAGACCCAGAGAGGGAGAGGGACTGTGTGCTGATGACCAGGGGGCAGGTTTGCAGGGTATACCCTTTGGTTGGTTGATGATGCATAGAGGGGATTGTAACCATAGCAATGAAACAATATACAATAGGATGAATGTAAAGCTAATGTTCTCCCATGTAAATGATCACATCATTCACAATAAAGTATTAAAAAAAAAAAAAAAAAGGAGAAGGACTCATATTAACTGACTTTAAAACATATTATATAGGTACCTTCATCTAAACAGTCTGGTTCTTGTGTAACAATACACACATAGTCAAATGGAATAAAATTTAGAGTCAAAAAGGAAATGCACACATTTGTGGTCAGCTGATTTCTGACAAGTGTGCTAAGTACATTTAATGGGGAAAGAATATTCTGTTCTATAAATGATATTGGGAAAATTGGATTTTCACATGCAGAAAAATAAAACAGAATCCATGGCTTACAATATAGACAGAAACAAATTAAAAATGGATTAAAGAACTAATGTGAAAAGTAAAACTATAAAATTATTGAAAAATACAGACATAACCTAACTCTTCAAAATGAATTTTCTAACATAATAATAAAAGCACAAATAGCAAAAGACAAAATGGATAAATGACACCTCATAAATATTTAAAACTTGTTCCTCCAGAGACCTCATCAAAAAAGTGAAAAGATATACTATCAACTGGGAAATATTTTCAGAAACCATATACATAATAAGAATCTAATAACTAAAATATATATAAAACTTTGAGAAATTAACCAAAACAAGCACAAATAAACCAATTATAAAATGGGCAAAGGATTGAAGAGACAAATTACCGAAGAGGTCATTTAAATAGCTACTGAACATGTGAAAAAGTATTCAATGTCATCAGAAAGATGCAAATCAAAACCATAGTAAGATAAAATTGAACTCTCACTAGGATGGTTAAAGAGTTTTGGTGTGGTGATGTAGGATAGGCACTGAACTGTTAACCACAAGGTTGGCACTTCAAACCCACCAGCCCCCCCTTGGAAACCTTATACAGGATTGCTGTGTGTCAGAATTGACTTGACAACAGTTAACAACAGCAGAATAACTAAGATTTAAAAAAAAAAAAAAATGTTGGTGAGGATTCAGGGAAATTGAAACCTTTATCCATTGCTGATAGGAATGTAACTCCCCAATCTCAAAAATTAATACACCACCAGTAGTCCAAACAGCCTGGTGTTGGTACAAAGAAAGATACATAGAACATAACTGAGAACCCAAAAGTAAATCCATCCACATACAGTCAACTGATCTTTGACAAAGAGCCTAAAACATCAAATGTGGAAGAGATAGTCTCTTCAACAAATGGAGCAGGCAAAACTAGAAATCAATTTACAGAAGAATGAAATAAGACCCATATGTTGTACCATATAAAAAACTAATTCAACATGGGCTAAAGAAAATGTAAAACCTAGAACTATAAAGATCATCAATGAAAAACTAGGGACATACTTAGGTGCTCTAATACAGGGCATACATATACTATCAAACATTACAAAAAATACACAAGCAGTAGAAGACAAAATAGATGACTGGGAACTCCTAAAAATTAGAAACTTGTTCAACCACTCTGGAGAATAGTATGGTAATTCCTAAGAAAGTTGGAAACAGAAAAACTTTATAACCCAAGAATCCCTTGACACAAGTAGATAATATGCACAACAGAACTATCCACAATAGCAAAAAGATAGAGACAGCCTAAATGCCCTACAATGGAAGAATAGATAAACAAACTTTGACTCATATACACAATGAAATACTATGCAACCTTGAAGAATAACAAAGAATCTGCGAAACAACTCCTAACTTGGATGAACCTGGAGGACTTGATGCTGAGGGAAATTAGTCAGTCACAAAACAACAATGTTGTATGAGACAATTATTGTAAAAGCTTAAAAAAGGTTTCCTACTAAAAGAAACATTCTTTGATGGTTACCAGGAGTGGGAGGAAGGGAGTGGAGAGTAATTCACTGTCATCTGGGGTTTTGGTACCCTTCTTGCACAAACTTTTTGAAACCCAAGTTTTTCATGGATTATTTCAAAGGCAGAGCCAAGACTAACACGTAAATGATTTGCCACCTAATCCAATGTCACCTGTTCAATGTTGTCATCAGCCGTGGATATGGCGTCCAACTCACACTAAAATAACCAGAGTGTAGATAATTTTTGACTCACCACCATATATTTATATATTCCATAAATATATAAGAGTTTGAAAAAAAGAAGAAGAAGAAGCATTACTTGATGGTTGCCAATGGTGGGAGGGAAGGGAGAGTAGTTCACCAGCTAGAGAGTAGACACATGTTAGCTCACGTGACAGGGAGGGTAATATACAAGAAGAAGGAGGTTGGCAGGAGAATGAGGAAGACAGTTGAAGACAGGGAGGTACACAAGGGTTAAAGGGGATGGAAGTAAATAGTGATATACATATACAACTTTGGAACAACAATGTTCTGTGGGCAGACACATGGACAGAAACATGCTGAATAGATATGGGAAGAAGAGTGGACTATATATTCCACAGATATATAACAGTTTGAAAGAGAATATTGGTACTAGAGTATTAACCTTTCCTGCAAACACAACTATGGATATGATGGAGTATAGTGGTGGTGGTGATGTGCCGTGGAGTCAGTTCCAACTCATAGCAACCCTGTATAGAGTTTCTGAGGCTGTAAATCTTTACGAGAGCAGAATGCCTCAACTTTCTCCCATGGTGGAGTATACAGTGGGCAAAATGTGGAAGACTTCTTAGATATTACCAAACCTCTTAAGACAATGTGTAGCTGGGCCTCCAGGCTCAGGACCACAGTCTCACAAAGACAATATTCTACATCCTACTTTGGGGACTAGCGTCTCATATATTAAAAGCTCAGGAGCAGTTGTCTAAGGTCCAACTATTGCCTTCTCCATGTGCAGAAGAAAGGAGAGCGATAAGGATTAAAGATTCTTGGAATCCATTAGTCCAACAGACTAATGGAACATGTGAACATCAGCTCTGTGACTCTGAGACCAGATGAAATTGATGGTGCCCAACTCACACTAACAACTGCTCTGAAATGGATCACATTATAAGGTTTGGAATAAAGGAACAACAGATATGGAACAAAAATTTAAATTATTCAAAAAACATTAGTTTACTGGACAGAGATAAACTAGAGAACCTGAGACTATTGCGTTTGATCACCTTTCAGGTCTGTAAAGGAACTCACCCTTGTGCCTCAACTTTCAGCCAAGTGGTAGATATGTATGTAAGGGAACTAACAACACTAGTAAGGTATGCTCACTATGAATAATGGGCAACGTGTACCTAAGAACAAAGTCGAAAAGGGATGGGAAGGTGGGGAGAATGGAAACAGGAACCAGAAGGAAGAAGCAGTAGCAAAGTACATGTTTGTTGAATGTAAAACTGATGATCTTGTCTGTATACCCTCACAATAAAAAGTTTAAAAAAAAAAAGAAAAGGCTCATGTAAAAATGGAATAGAAAGATAATGAAATTTTCCACAAATCTTCTGAAGCGTCCTTGTAAATAAAGGTAGAGCTTATGTGGAAAATCATGTGGTGGTTCCTCCAAAACCTAAAAATGGAAATGTCATATAACCCAGGAATTCCACTCCTAGGTACAGACCCCCAAAATTTGAAATCAGAGACTCAAATAGAGTTCATTGTAGCACAACTCACAATAGCCAATAGTTTGGAAACAACCTAAATGTCCATCAACAGATGGATGGATAAATAAAATGTGGTACACACATAAAATGGAATACAACTTCGATAGTTCAAGCTCACCAGCTGCTCCTCGGAAACCCTATACAGGATCGCAATGGGTCAGAATCAACTCGATGGCACATAACAACAACAACTTACACAGTAGGAGAAATGAAGTCTTAATACATACTACAATATGTATGGAGCTTGGAGAAAATTGTTGTTGTTGTTAGGTGCCATCAAGTCAATCCCAACTCATAGTGACCCTATGTACAACAGAACGAACACCACCCAGTCCTGTGCCATCCCCACAATTGCTGCTATGTGTGAGCTCATTGTTGCTGCCTCTGTGCTAATCCATCTCATTGTGAGACTCCCTCTTCTTCCCTGTCCTTCCACTTTACCAAGCATGATAGCCTTCTCCAGGGATACCTCCTAATAGAATGACCAAAGTATGATGGACGAAGTATGGCTGTCTTGATTTCTAAGAAACATTCTGTTTGTACTTCTTCCAATACAGATTTGTTTTTCTGGAAATCCATGGTACCATTAATGTTCTTCTCCAACACCGTAACTTAAATGCACCATGATAAATAACACCATGACAACTAAAGAAAAGGCTGAAGCCATCAAAGACTTAATTTTGCTCAGACCAATCATCAATACTCATGGAAACAGCAGTCAAGAAATCAAATGACATATTGCATTAGGTAAATCTGCTGCACAAGACCTTTTTAAAGTGTTCAATAGCAAAGATGTCAGTTTGAGGACTAAAGATGTCAGTTTGAGGCCTTACCCAAGCCATGATATTTTCAAAAACCTCATATGCATGCAAAAGTTGGACAATGAATAGGGAAGACCATAGAATTGATACATTTGAGTGATGGTATTGAATAGACTAAGTGAAGTAAATCAATCATAAAAGGTTAAGTATTGTATGGCCTCTCTTGAGGTGGTGGTGGTGGTGGAGTGCCGTGGAGTCTGTTCCGACTCATAGCCACCCTGTGTAAGTTTTCCGATGTAAATCTTTACCAGAGCAGAAAGCCTCATCTTTCTCCTGTGAAGTGGCTGGTAGTTTCAAACTGCTGCTCTTGAAGTTAGCAGCCAGACTCATAACCACTATGATACCAGAGCTCCTTGGCCTCACTTGTATTAGTATAAAAAAGACAAGGTATGGCAACTTTATAAAGAGCAATATTTATTAGTTATTATCAGGGGCACGAGGGAGAGAGTGCTATTATTATGGAATCCTGAGTCTGGACTTTTGGGGATGGATAACTGGATTGATTAAGGGTAGGCTTTCACAACTGATTAATGTAATTGCAATTAGCATGTGATATGGATCAGAGAAAAAGAGGAAGACCCCCAGCAAGATGGAGTGGCAAAGTGGCAGCATCAATGGGCTCAAGAGTGGCAACAATTGTGAGGTTGGCCCAGGATTGAGCAGTGTTTCATTCTGTTGTGCATAGGGTTGCTATGAGTTGGTGCTGACTCAATGGCACCTAACAACAATACCTGTAAAAATCTGAATTGGCAAAAATTATATAATGGATGTATTTACAACAACAACAATAAAAAACAGTAGCGGCTGAGGCTGCTTATGTACAACCAAACACCCTATGGGATTTGTTTCCTTGGTTTAGAGTTTTGTTTTGTGGAACATAATGTTAATTGGCCTACTATATTTAGTGCTTCTCTTCTATCTCCTAGTTTGCTGTGTAATTGCAGGGGTACCAAAAGCTTGCAAGCAACCATCCAAAGTATATCAATAACACTATGTCTCTACTCACTTGGAGCAACAGAAGAAGAAGGAAAGCCAAGCATAGAAAGAGGATATGGAATGTGTGGCTAATTGTCCCCATGAACAAACACCTTAAGGCCAAAATAACAAAATCCTGATCAAAGAGGGGAAAATTTAGAACAGAATTTCAAATCCTCACACAATCCAGAATTTCCAGAGCCATGGAGGCTGCAACCAACAGAATCTTTAACCTTAAACCAAAAATATTCCCTGAGGTCTTTTTAAAAACAAATAATACTTTTGCTTAATTGGTAAAGAATATCTGCTTTGAGTATTATGCTTTTCAAAATCTAGTTATATAGGCTCAAATTGACAACAGCAACATGAAAACTTGATAGGAAATTTAGGCAGCAGAGAGTTTATGTTAATGGGAGAAAACAACCTTAAAAATGTAATCCATGTCACTGACTTGTAAATGCAGAAACTTCAACTGGTGCTTCTGCTGTGTATAGCCTCAACAACAAGAGAAATTATTTTTAAATAATCATAAAATAAAATGATTTTTCCTAGGACAGGAACTCACTTGGACTACACACCAGAGCACCCCCAAAACAAAACTAACATCTTTTAGAAATGGGTACAGGACTCATTCCCAAATTCACAGACTACCCCTTTCTCTCTTTCAGAGAAGGTAAGCTTTAAGGTAATTTACCTCTTCAATCTGGATCTCCCGCTCGTAAACCAGCTTTCGAACCATACTGGCCACAGATACCATCCAGGTCAGCATCATTATCAGTGGGAAAAAAAAGCCAACATTGTTCAAAAATCTGTAAAGGAATAATTTCAGTCACTGTTCTAGGGCAAGCAAAGTGTTTTGACTTAGTCGTATGCATGACAAATACTACACTTATGTATGCTATTTAGCAATTTTCTTACAAGTGACAAAGCACTTTCAGAAACAATAACTCAATTGGCCACTTCAGCACACATGTGAATTACATAAGAGGGCTGTACTGGTGTCAAGATACCACAAATACATAGAACTGTGAAGACGTTCGTTACACATGAAGGAACACAACTGGTCAAGGTCCCTGAACTAATTGTGTTGTTTCTGTTGTTAAATGCCATCAAATCATTTCCAACTCATAGGGACCCTGGATAGGAGCTGCTGGAGGGCTTGAATTGCAGTCCAGTGCTTATCCTACAGCACCACACCAGGACTCCTAGGCCTGTCCAAATCCTTTTGGAAATGTGCCATCGGCAGGGCACAGAAGAGAACAAAAACAAGTCATTAACTTCCCTTCAATTAATTTGAATCATTTTGATCTTCAATCAATTATATCAACTTATCAAAGACCATCATCTATAAAATACATAAAAATCATTACAAAGAAGTCTAACTTTTTCTGTTTCCCTGCACATTAGTCCTTATTCATGTTTCAACCCATCTTAATGAGGCTTCTGTTTCTAACACTTATTTTAAATAATTCTTATGTAGGATCCAAGGATCCCTGGTAGCATAGAGGTTATAAATCGGGCCACTAACCTCAAGGTTGGAAGTTCAAAACTACCAGCTATTCCACAGGAGAAAGCTGCTCCCGTAAAGATTTGCAGTCTCAGAAATCCTGTGCAGGGTCAGTATGAGTCGGAACCGACTCCCCAGTACTTAACAACAACAACAACAACAACATTCATGCCTCTAAATTCACTGAGCATTTTTCTGTCACTATCCCTCTTGACTTCTCAGCTTTGTTTACAACACTGACCCTCTCTCTTTCTCTTCCTTTCTTAACTTCCAGAGCAACTCTTGACTTTCTACCAACTGCTCTGGCCCTTTGTCAGTCTCTTTTAATTCTCACTAATTATCCTTCAAATGTGGAGGTTCCAGACAGACTCTTTCTCCTCACCCCATAGTCTCCGATCTCTAAATCCAAATAATAATTATTTTATCATCACTAGACTAACTAAAGGTATAAACAATATTATAGAAACTGCAGTACATGGATGGACCAAAGGGAAAAGAACCCAACTGTAAAAAAATTCTATCTTCTAGTGGTGAAGGGTGCATAAACTAAATCAATTTAAAAAGAGATCAGCAAGAAAGTGTCAGATAGTAATGATTGCTAAGAAGAAAAATGAAGCTGCTTCAGGGATAGTTAAAAGGGCGCTTACCAAAAATATCAGTGAAAGAAATACTGAAGCAGAAAATAGAGTAAGTGAAAAATGAGTCATACAAATTTTTTGAAGGAATTCATAAAGATATGTGAAGGAAGATCACAACTGTAAGGACCGGAAGTAGGAACAGATTTTCAGGAGAAGTCACAGGCCTCATGAGCTAAGTAGAAGATGAGTCAGAGAGTTTGTTGGGGGCAAGATTATGTAAGGATTTTATATGATTAGGTAAGTATTAGATTTGTTAGGCCCCAGATGGCCCTATCCAATAGGAGACCCCAAAAAGATTACCAGGACTCGAGTTCGATGCAACAGCAAGAGGTTTATTTGCCAACGTGCTGGGGTCCACTTTCAGTCACAAAAGCAGGAGACAAAGGCGACCCCCCTTTACAGTACAAGCCAGTTTTTATAAGGTTTTAGGGGCATAATTGTGCAGTACCATAGATACAATTTCTGATTGGTTAACAATTGGCAAAGTATGAGATGTTACAGTTTAATTGGTCAGTACTGCTGGTCTTTGTTCTTAGGCTAGGGTAAAGGAAAACATCTGGCATTTGGCCTTGGGTACTGTCTATTCTTTATCTAGTTCCCGCTGTTGCTAGGAGTGAAAGGATATTCTAAGGCAGCATGAGCTGATTTAGCACGTTCCTGGAACAGGAGGATGTGTTCAGGCTAATGTACAGAATGGAGATTGACCTTGTCTCTGGAGGGAACTAAAAACTGAGGCCTTGTCTATTTAAAATGCTTTTCTGAGCCTGACTAGAGTTTAGTCAAGCAGTCTCTAGGTAGGTAAAATCCGTTAGGTCCTTACAGATTTATTCCAAGAACAAGGAGATGCAATTAAAAGACTTTCAAAAGTGTAAGAAGAAATCAGAGAAGTGGCATAGTCAGATGTATGCTTGTTAAAGAAAATCACTGCAGGTGCTGTAGACAGTGGAGTGGATGTTGGGAAGCCTGTGAGAAGAGTCAGGAGACTACTGCTGTATTGCCAAGGGCTACATAAGTAGCCCCCTTTTTTTTTTTTTCCCCCACAGTTATGGTTTTATTAGGGAAATCAACAGGTTACAATTCAGGATCAGAAATATTCAGGACACAGTTCTTTTAGTTAGGAGACAAACGAGTTAGTTCTTCTAGTTAGGACAGGCTTTTCTCTGGCCCTTGGCCCCTTGGCCTAACCTCTACCCTATTCCAGCCATATTACAAAGCTCTTTTAGGTTGCTAATAAATGCCCACAGGACATACCATTTCTCCACAAGCCTTAGCTTGAAGGCACACAGCTCCCCCAGTTAAGTGCCTGGAGGTACCCAATAGCGCAAGCAAGGCTCCTGCCCAAAGGCACCCAGCTTTACTTGTTCCATGGGCTTGGAAGCCCACCATTCTCTCTTGTGCTCTGGTTCTTGGTTCTGTTGTTGCATCTCTTATGTCATTCCTCCAGTGTCATAGCTTTCTGTCCTTTTGTCCAACTGAGCTGTAAAATTTTAAAGGACGTGTCTCCTTCTTATTCGGTATATTGCATCTTAGCATATGGTAGAAGCTCAATAGACACGTATTGCCTGAATTGAATCTGGGACTCAGTAAACAGGTTTAAAGGATTCTAACCTTCAGATCAACTGCCAAATAGATGCCAGCCTCTGCTTATTCTCACTGTCTCTTGTGGCGCTGTAGGATAAGTACTGGACAGCTAACCAAAAGGTTGGTGGTTAAAATCCACAAGCATCCCCTTGGAAATGCCATACAGGGTTGTTATGAGTTGGAGTCAACACAATAGACAGGAGACAATGGAATGGAGGAGTCCCTAGATCATTACCCTCTGAAATAGCCTCTCACAGCCCCTCTAAGACTTCTTCATCGAATTAACCAGAACTTGGAATAGCTGGCTTATCTTACACCACCACTAGCACTGTATTAAATGTTGCTGTTGTTGTTGTTGTTATTAGGTGCCATCGAGTCAGTACTGATTCATAGCGACCCTATGCACAACAGAACAAAACACTGCCCAGGCCTGGGCTAACCTCACAATCCTTGCCACGCTTGAGCCCATTGATGCTGCCACTTTGCCAATCCGCCTCGCTGGGGGTCTTCCTCTTTTTCTGTGACCCTCCACCTTACCAAACATGATATCTTTCTCCAGTGACTGGTCCCTCCTGACAATATATCTGAAGTACTCTACTATATACTAAGAGCCAAATACCTATTTTCTGTCAAGCTACATCTAACATCAGCATTGATATTCCTAGTCCTATATCCTCCTCTAAATCTGGTTGCAGTTTTTGCAATTTCTTGTTGATGTACTGTTGAAGCTATTTTTAAAATTATCTTCAGCAAAATTTTGCTTGCACGTTACATGAATGATTTGTTCAATGATTTCCACATGCCAGGGATCACTTCTCTTTGGAAAGGGCATAAAGCTTCCAATTGGCTGGCCAGATGGCTGTCTTCCAAATTTCCTGGCATAGATGAGTGAGCACCTCCCGTGTTGCATCTGTTTGTTGAAAGACTTCAGTTTGTATTTCATGAAATCATGGAGACTTGCTGTTTGCCAATGCCTTCAGGGAAGCTTGAAATTCTTCCATCAGTATTGTAATGGTTAGGGTTCTGTGTCAACTCAACTAGGCCAGGAATTACAAAGGCTTAGAAGTTGAGATACGTTTATTCTCATGATGATGAAATGTAATACAAGAATAGTTAGCTCTGATGAGTGACTATAAGCAGCCAATCAATTTAAAGGATGCTTCCTTCTGGGTGTGACCTGTTCCCAATATAATGGACACACAGAAGAGACACTCTCTTTCTCTTCCACTAGAGACTTGAGACTCTACAACTGTAAGATAATAAACTTCTCTTTATATATTTACATATAGATGTTTCACTGGTTTTGCTTCTCTAAAAAATTGGCCTAAAACAAGTATCATTGGTACTTGATCATATGCTTGAATCATTCTTGAAATGGTTGAATATCAGCCATTTGTTTTTGGTGCAGTGATTCTGTACATACCTTCCATCTTCTTTGGAGGCTTTCTGCATCATTTAATATTTTTCCCATGGAATCCTTCAATATTGCACGTCAAGGCGTAAATTTTTGCTTAAGAAATGCTGAACATGTTTTCTTTTTTTGTTTTCTAACTCCAGGTCTTTGTGCCTTTTATTATAAAACTTGACTTTGCTTTCTCAAGATCCCTTCTGAAGTTTTCTGTTCGGCTTTTTCACTTCCTCATTTCTTCTATTCACTTTAGCATCTCTACGCTGCAGAGCAAGTTTGAATCTGACATCCATTTTGGTCTTTTTCTTTCTTTCCTATCTTTAACGGACCTTATTTCTTCCTGTGTGATGTTCCTACAATTCTTCTGGTCTTCGGTCACTATGTTTAATGCATCAAATCTGCTCTTGAGATGGGGTCTATAGAGTCTTAGTGTGGCACTGAAGGATAAGCACTGGACCGCAACATCAGTTTGAACAGTAAGGTGGATGGTGCAAACTCACCAACTATTCCTCGGAAACCCTATACAGGGTTGCTGAGACTTGGAACAAACTCAATGTCAAAGGTTGCAATTTGGCTTTTGTGGACTTGTTTTAACTTTATTCAGCTTCAGCCTGAACTTGCATTTGGACAACTGATGGACTGTTCATCAGTTGGTTCCTGGTCTTATTTTGGCTGATGATATTCAGCTTTTCCAGTCTCTCACAACAGATGTAGTCAGTGGGATTCCTGTCAATTCGATCTGGTAAGGTCTATCAGTATAATCACCTTATATGCTGTTTAAGATAGATTCATATATCATCATTTATATCACCAAGGCAATATTTTCTAACTACAGATACTTCTTCTTTGTTTCTAACCTTCACATTCCAATCACCAATAATTATCAATGCTTGTTGATTGCAAAAATGTGATCAATTTCAGACTGACAAAGTTGGTAGAAATCTTCAATTTTGTCATCACAGGTTTTAAAGATTTGTGCATATATTTAAATAGTTGTGGTATTAACTGGTCTTCCTTGTAGGTGTACAGATATTATCTTATCACAAATAAAACTGTACTTCAAGATAAAACATGAAATGTTCCTTTTGATGATTACTGTGATACCATGTGTCTTCAATCAGTCATTCCCAGCATAGTAAGCCATATGATACAAAATGCCAAATACTAGTCCATTGTAGCTCACCAATACCACTCTTTTTGAAATCCATTTCATTACTGACAAATTCTCATTTTTGTAGATTCATACTTTGTACATTCCATGTTCTGAGTATTCATGGATGTTTGTAGCCATTTCTTGTTTTGAGTTGTGCAATATCAGCAATGATAGCCCTCGTTCCATGTCCTCCTCTCAAGGTGATTTGACTCTCCAGCAGTTCCACTGTCAATGTACTGCTGCAGCCTCGTAGGTATATGGATATTATTTGATCACAGATAGCATTGTACTTCAAGATACCTGATATGTGGAAATAAAAGAGAGTGAAAGTCACAGCCTATAGTAGTATTGTTGTGTTTAAGTGCCGTTGAGTCATTTCAGATTTATATTTACCCTGTAAAATTTACTCAAATTTACTCCAAGAAGCAGCTGCTGAGCTTGAACTGCCGACCTTGCAGTTTAAGCCGATCTTGCGGTCCAGTGCTTATCCTGTAGTGTCAACCTTTTTCATGGATTTTAAAGGACTTTCACCATCTGACCCTACCTAGATGTCCTAGCTTGTAGCTCGTTTTTTCATCCACCCCATTACGAACAAAGAACACTAGTCACACTTTACCTTCCACTTGGCAAGCACCTGTCTGTATTGCCTGTCCTCCCTGTGCCTCTCTAGTGCCAGGGTGACTTCTTCAAGTTGTCTTGTCCAGAGGCTTCAGCACTTAAGCAAACTTTCCCTTTTCTCTACACCTATAGATGTCCCCAACCTAATCACATAATATAATACAATAGTAAATGTTCTCAGTTTACTTCACACCTATGAGGCCTCTATGGAATCCCTCACCATCTCTATGCCGTACACGGTACACAGTTGAGACACAAAGACTATTTCTTAAAGATTTACACCAAAGAAGTAACCATCCTCTGTTCCTCCTGTTTATATTTGTGGAATCTTGAGTCAGATATGTGAAATCCTCTAAGTATTATTCATCAAATTTATTGTAAAAAAGCATTTAATGCTCCATTTTATTACATCTCAACAACAACTTTTAACATGAATATTTCAGGTATATGAAATAAGGAACCTCATGAAATTAACAGAATTTTTTTTTTTTTAATGTCCCTTGAGATCACTATCAAACCCCCAAACCAAAGCAACTGCCATTGTGTTGATTCTGATTTATAATGGCCCTGTATGATACAGTCAAACTGCTCCATAGGGTTTCTGAGACTCTAAATGTTTACAGCCTCATCTTTCTCCTGTGGAGTGTCTGGTGGGTTTGAACCACTGACCTCGCGGTTAGTAGCTCAATGTTTAACCCACTGCAGCACAAGGCCTCTTGGGATGGCTACATAAAGGTCTGATGATATTTTCTTTTAAGTTTTGCCTGTGCAAACCTCTTCCCCCTGCAAGTGAACATTTGAAGGGAGCTCAGCTCCAATCCCAGGTACTCACAAGTCACTGGTATGGCAGGGGTAGGGCATTGCCTGTGCCTGCGTGGCTGGCTCCCGAGCGCCCCGTCCCGTCTGCACCGAGATGATGGCTCTCTCAATCATGTCTTGCAATGGGACAAAGATATAGTTATATTTGAACCCGTCAGCTGGTAGACTCTGTGGATGGAACTTCCAAAAGGGGTTTTTTACCATGTCTGTTCTCATGCTGTATAAGACACTTGTCCTAATTGTATATGTGACATGGGGTGGCAGTTTGCGAGACTCTGACTGGAAATTCTTGTTGATGAAGGAATTATTGAATATAATACCTAATGGCAGAAATGAAAAAGTAAAGGATTAAAACGTAGGAAGGGATTCCCACAAGCTATCTATTGTCTTGTCTTGCTTTCACCCCACAGATATTAAGATTTTTTGAAAAAGAGAGAGAGAGAGAGAGAGCGGGAATGATTTTCTTTCTGAGCCATTATAGTATAGTAGACATTAAGGAATAAATATACAATATGACAGCCTTTATGAATATAGTTTTCATGGACTACTTACTGGCCAATAAATCATTCTGTTGCATGAGTACTTGTGCTTTAGTCTCCAGGAGGTCGACAGACTCTTGCGCCTGGAAGCGGTTCAACACTACACAGGAGGAAAGATTTACCAAGATGTGACCCAGGAACTGCATGTTTCCAGCTCCTACATGGTTAACCATCCTGTCTAGCATTCCTCCTGAGGGAAGAAGAAACAGAGCACATTAACTTTGATTTCAGTCCTGTGCTTACTCTACATTATCAGGAGGTTATGCAAATAAATTTGAAAACGAATACAAATTCCTTCATTAAAAACTACTCAAGAGTTCAGGGTTGTCCATATGCAAACTTTGCTTCTTATTTACTGAGTGTAAGCTTTTTAAATATTCTTTTAGAATGCAGATACTTTTATGAAAATGAGGCAAAAAAAGTTAAGACACAAGATGAGGTCTCAAAACTGCTCCCTGGACAAAGGTAAACCTGGTAGGGGAGACAGACAGAATAAAAACTGATCAGAAAGTCTATTAGGGGTAGGAAGAGCCTTTCTGAGAGCATTTAGGAGAAGGCACAGGGGTGGGAGGGGGCAATATTCCAACCTAAAATCAAGTAATTCTCAAAAAAAAAATTCATTACTTTTTATAAAATCAATTTTACAAAAGCAATTATAGAGATATATTCACAATGAGTACATCAAATCCTACGAAAGTCTCTGTCTTAAATTTGTGCATTTTTCAAATGAAAATGTAGTGATAAATATAAACTAAGCAGCATTTTTTAAGGCAAAAACACTGAGGATATCTACATATATGCCAGCTTTGGTTTCAGGAAGGAGGGGGAGCACAGTAGGTGCATGAAAAGCAAACTATCTAAAAGCAAGGCACTGTGGGGAAAACGTTCAGAACAAACCTGGACCAATTAATCCATATGCAAAAGTGAAGCAACTCATTAAAGAGAACTGAATTCTTCCAGAAATATGTATGTACTTTATAAACAGACTTTTAGAGCAGTTTTAGATTTACAGAATAATTACACAAAAAGTTCTTTTTTCCTATTTATTCCCCCACCCCACCACCTGCACATTAATTTCTCCTCTTATTAGCATCTTAAATTAATGAGGTATAGTTGTTATAATTTGTTGTTGTTGGTAAGTGCTATTGAGTTGTTTCCAATTCACAGAGACTCTGTAGAGGATTTCCAAGGCTATAAATCTTTACAAGAGCAAAAGTCTCATCTTTCTCCCATGGAGTGGCTGGTGGGCTCGAACCACCACCAACAGGGTTATGTCATCAGTGTCAACCCCTTTTTATTTTCCTCCATGTTTGGGGGCAGCTTCAGGTCCTGTTTATTACTCTCAATTTATCCATTGACAGGTAACACCTGTCTTCATCTGTATGTAAGCACTGCTTCCGGCTGTCCAGTTCCTACTGCCATGGAGTCCGTTCCAGCTTATACAGACCCCATATGTGAATGAAAATAATTGTACTTTATATGATTTTCAATGGCTGAGCTCTTGGAAGCAGATCATTAGGTTGTTGTTGTTGTTGTTGTTTTTTATCAAAGTGCATCTGAGTGAACCCCAGCCTTTCAGTTAGCAATGAAGGACATTAAGCTTTTTTACTATCTCAAGGCACTTCCTGCTGTTTACCCTATCTCACCGACATTCTGAATGATGCAGGCTCTCCATGTAATAGGGTTTTTGTGAGTCCATCTCATGTCCTGTTCCCAGTTTGGAGTCTGCCTGCCCTTGGCCCTGTAGCAGCACTAAACTGACTTTGAGCTGCCTCTATATCACACTGCTGCCTCTCTCACTCCATGCTTCCCTCCTCGAATACTCTTTTCCCTGAATCCATGTCTCCCTAGCCTCTTAAATTTCAGGATCAAGCTTGACTTTGCCTTGTGTCTTCCTCTTTCTCTGTGTGAAAGTTAGCCTGAGGCAGTTCACAGGGGCCTAACTTGAATAAGAAATTCCTTCTTCAAGACATGTCTCTGTCATACTTCTCTGTCATACTAAGCTATCTGGATAAATCAGCTAATGTGGTTGGACCTCAACTTCGTCCTTGGCAAGAAAAGAATTATTTCCATCCATCAAATCCAGGTGGCCAGACAAATCCAAGCTCCCAGAGAAGATCAATCTGCTGTCAGAGTCCCTGGGTGGCCTGACTCCTCACACCCTTTATCACTCACTGTTCCTCATTGAAGGGCATGGCCTTCATCATTGCTACTGTTACGACTGCTGTTAGGTTCCAGTAATTTCCAGATGTCATGGCAAGCTAGAAGTGTAAAACTTTGAAAGGCCAAATTTTAGATGACTAAGCTTTTGATGAATAAGTACAATAATAATGGGGTGTTGTTGCTGTTAGTTGTCAGCAAGTCAATTCTGATCCTGTGTGCAGAGTAGAACTGTTCCATAGGGTTTTCAGTGTCCTGGCATAGTGCCAGAGGATAAGCACTGGACTACTAGCCCAAGGTCAGTGGTTCAAACCCATCGACTGCTC